AAATAGATGGGTATTCTGGTGAGAAAGTAAGAGAAATAGCTAAAGGATAAGAAAGCGTAAGTCCCTCTGGAGTTTGCTGTGGGGTTATTTTTCTAGTCAAGCTGACTGTTTTAGGTCCCTTCAGTCCAGAGAAGAGAGGCAGAAAACACAGAGCCTGAGAGCTGTTGTAGGGAACAGGAGCAATCTGGCTGATACCTCTGATCTGTGACTGGGTTCTGGTGTGGGACAGTCTCACCAGAAATTCAGCAATTCAGCAAGAAATTTTCCTCAAAAAAGAGGCTTAGTGGCTGGGGAGATGGCTCAGTGGAATAAGCGCTTGCCGGGCAAGTGCAAGGGCCTGAGTTTAATCCCCAGTTCTACCAAAAAAAAAAAAACAAAACAGGCTTAGTAAAGCACAGATGTAGACAGATGCCCATTTTAGGCTTAATTCATTCTCTGGCTGGGAGAAGACTTTTTTCTCTAAAAATTATGAACCAGCAAACCTCAGACGAAGTCTGTGATAAGAACTCATATTAACATAAAAATTATGCATTATGCCAAAAAAATCGATTTGAAGGCTGGGTGTGGTAGCAAATGCCTGTAATCACAGTTATTGGGAGGCTGAGGCAGGAGGATTGAAAATTTGAAGCCAGCCTAGGCAACTTAAGAAGACCCGTTCTCAGAATAAAATAAAAGGGGCTAGGGGTGTGGCTCCCTGGTGGAGCGCCTCCCTAGCATGCATAGGCCTTGGTTCAATCCCCAGTACAACAATAACTGCAAAAGTTTAATTTGCAATTTTTCCCAGGTAGGTCAGGCACCTATTCTGGCTGAAGCAAGAATACCCTTCATGGAGTAATCTACATTTAAAAAACAAAACCTCAGGGGGCCAGAGAGATGGTTCAGTAGAATAGGCACTTGCCTGGTAAGTGCAAAGGCCTGAGTTCAATCCCCAGTTCCACCACCAAAAACAAAAAAACCAAAAAAACAAAAAAAACCAAAAAACCCCCAAAAAACAAAAAAAACCAAACCTCAAAGAAATTAGAAAAATAAAAAATTCTTAGAAATCTGGGATTATTGTAAAGAAAAAAAAAGCAAAAGCTTATAGAACACAGCAGAAAACTAGCCACCGTCACTGAAAGTAATAGAAACACAAAACTACAAAAGCAGACAAGCAAGGTTTAGAGGTTGAGATAGCCAAATATAGAGTAGAAAATAAATATGTATATTTACAGAAACAAAAGAAGACAGTATGGAAAGTATGGTAATGGAATGAGACATCATTGAAACCAACCAGAAAGATTTAAAAAGGAAACAAATTTTGTTTTGTCTATTTTTTTTTTCCTGGATATAAAAAACTAGCAAAATGAGAAACCCAGCTGATGATTACACTATAAATCAGATGCAAATGAAGAGAGATCTTGTGTACCAAAATATAGAAAA